GCATGTGTGTGAGTGCCCAAAATCCCAAGAGGAGAATGGAGAAGGTATTGTGGCATGGCCACCCTTCGTGGGAGGTGATTTCTCACTTTTACTCTCTCACTCTGGTGAGTGCACACTCTCCAATGCAAAAACAAACAAACAAACAAACAAAAAACAAAAAACTTCGTGGAAAATGGGAGTAAAGTTCAAGTTCAATTTGGTGCCCAAAATATTGAAACCCAGGTATAGCTTTTTCATAGTACACATTTTCTATGAAGTCTTAAAGACTTATTGTACAGAGAGTACAAGGCTGAGCAGTATCCCATAGTGTATATGTGCCACACATTTTTTAAAAAAAATTATTTATTTATTGAATTCAATTTGTCATTTTTTAAAATTTAACCAAAGAGAGACAGACAGAGAGAGAAAGGGAAAGCAAGAAAGCAAGCCATCAGTTCCAGGACTCAGATCGTGGTCACCTATGTGAGAATCCAGTGCATTTAACCACCATACTATCTGCTGGCCCCTTGACACTTCTTTTAAAATATAGGAATCCATTCTTGGCCATTTAGATTGATTCCATGTCCTAACAATGGCAAATAATGCTGCAATAAACATGGATACGCTAGTGTCTTTCTGATTGAGTGTTTTTCTATTCTTTGGGTAAATACCCTGGAGCAGTATTACTACATTTTTGCTTTTATGTAAAGATCATCTTGTTTTTGTTACTATATATAATTTTAAATCAGGAAGTGTAATATCTATAATTTTAATTTTAATTTATTTTTTAAAGAATTATTTTATTTAAATTTTTCCACTTATTTCCTTTTTTTATTTTAATTTGACCAGAGAGGGACAGAGTGACAGAGAGAAAGTGAGAAAGCAAGCTATCAGGTCCGTGACTCAAACCTCAATTAGCCATTTGGGATTCCAGCACCCTTAACCACCACACCATCTGCTGGCCCTGATTTTTATTTCTTGATATTGCTTTGAATATTCAAGGGTTTTTCTTGTATATGCGTGGTTTTATTAGGATTTTTCTAGCCTTTCTAGAGAATATGTTATATATATATGTGTGTGCGTGTGTGTTTATATATGTATATAAATATGTATAAGTACACATATATCTACACATGTATAAATACACATATGTGTATATATATATATATACATATACACACATATATATACATACAAACACACTTAAATACTGTATCTCATAACAGTTCACAAAACTTTTGGCTCCACCTAGTGGCACAGTCAGTAGCAAACTGAACTGTGGTGATGGAAGCCATGTGACTGAACTACAGGTTTAGAGCCCTGGATCAGCCTGCAAACACAGTGGGTGCATTTGTACATGTCCAAGATTCCAATGAGCTCGAAGGCTTTGGAAAGGGAATCATGATGTGAGAAGAACTGCTGAGGCTGATGCTCTCTCTCTAATATGATAAAAAAAATATGTATTTTCTAAAAAACATATTTGTTTTATTTCTAATTCTGTAAAGAACGTTTTTGGACTTGTGATAGTACTATATACAAGGGTGTCTTCAAGAGTTTATGGAAAACGTGCACTATGAAAAAATTATGCCTAGGTTTCAATACTTTTTTCACCAAATTGAACTCTTACTTTATTCCTTTACTCCCATTTTCCACAAACTTTTTTTTTTTTTTTTAATGTTAGGACATAGGCACTCACAAGGGAGAGAGAGAGAAAGTAAGAAATCCCTCCCACCCCAGGGAGAATGACCACACTATGATTCTTTCTCCTCCATTTTTCTCTTGGGATTTTGAGCACACACACACACACACACACACACACACACACACACATACACACACACTTGTCCCTGTGTGATTTTCAAGCCACCAGCTCCAGGACTCGAACTGTGGTCAGCTATGTGGGATTCAATGCCTTAACCACCACCTGCCAGTTCCTCCACAAACTTTCTGACATCCCTTTGTATTTGTATAAAAAATAATAAAAAAAAATACTGGAAAAAACCTAAGTACGAGCAACAGAGAAATGAATATAAAACAGCAGTATACCCATGCAATAAAATGCTATTCAATAATACAAAGGACAAAGAAAATTTAATACACCAGGGTGGATGGCTCTCAAAATAACTGGGTGAAGGGCCAGCAGATGGTGTGCTGCTTAAGGTACTGGATTCTCACATGACTGACCATAGTTCAAGTCCCAGACCTGGACACTGGGCTCGAGTGCATGGATGCCCCAAATCCTGAGAGAATAATGAAAAAGAAGACATTGCACTGTGGCCATTCTAGGGAGATTTCTCATTCTCTCTCTCTCTCTTTCTCTCTCTCTCCTCTCTCATCTCTCTCCAGAGAGTACACACACTCTATGGAAAAAAAAACTTAAAAAAAGTAGATGAATAACTGTATTGAATAATGAAAGCTAGACCAAAAAATAAAAAAGAATACATTTTCTATTATTCCATTTACATGTTGAGATCTGATATAACTGAGACTATTACATTTTTATTATATATTATTTATTTTAAATAGCAGTATTGATCCTCAGTGTCTCCCAAAAGTTGTCAAACTATAAACTTACATTTAATTAAATTTATAAAATAAAGTAAACATTTTAAAACAAAAATCAATACGTGGTGAGAGAAATCAGTTTAATGGTTGCTTAACGAATATGTCAGGGGATGAAAAAAAAAGAATAACTAAATGACAGCTCATATGTCATATGAACATCAAATTACTGTTTTGGCCAAAGTTTCATGAACCCAAGGAGTACAACAACAGTGATTTTTTTTTTAAATTTGCCATAAGGCATGTGCATTCACTAGAGAGAGAAAGATAGGGACCGAGAAGGAAAATGAGAAATCAAGAAATCACCCCAAGGAGGATGGCCACTCTGCAATCCTCTCTTCTCCATTTTCCTCTCAAGATTTTGGACACATATGTACAAGCACTGAGTGTGATTTTCAAGCCCCCAGTTTTAGTATTTGAACCATAGTCAGCCACATGGAAGTTCAGCACATTAAACACCATTCCACCTGCTGGTCCTACAATTGTGATTTTTATCAAAGGGACACAGTTCTCTCTTGTTTGAGAGAAGGGCAGCAATTTCCTGGAGGTTATGTCTCTACTACAACTTAATTCTTTAGAGACTCAAGGGACCTAGTCAAGATGGATTCCTCAGTCTTAGATTTGGAGAAAATTGTCTGAGGGTTGAGATAAGATATTACAATATTAAACTTCTGGAAGGGAGAGTTAATGCTTAAGGAGTACCAAGTACTGAATTCACTTAATTTTTTAACTCTGTCTCTTGAGAACAAAGATCTGGAGGGAAAATTTAACTTTCTGCTCAGAGCAATGTCTCACAGGGAATGTACTCAGGGTTTGGAGTAATAAGAGGAAAATGTGCTTAATGAGCAGAGATACAGAGCTATAATTATCTCTTCCAAGGCTGTCCGTCAGTATTTGCAAACTTGGGCTGGATAGAACATGGTTATTTCTTTCACTGTCCTAAGTCTGTCTCAAGAACCCACACTCCACTCCTGCTATTTTCTCCAGAGACAGAGCATCAGTTTCCATTGACAACCTTTCAGGAAGGAAGCCACAATTTTACACAGAGACTTTTCTTTCAGAGATACTGTTCCAGTAATAGAACCCAGTGAAATGACATATAAAAGGTAATATATTTATAATAGAACTTAAAAGGGGATAACAGGTCAGGAGTTGATCCATTTTGACAAACATCTGAAAGTCTGAAACCATGAGCAATTACTTTGACAGATGAAATAGTGGGGAAAATTCCACAGCTCACAGCACAGAAGAAAGTAGAAGGGGAAGACACATGCTTTTAAAAACAACACCATAACTCATAACTATGCACAATTACTATATGTAAGTTATAAATTATAACAAAGCTATTTTTAAATTCTGTAACTTTTGCTTTATAAAACTTTAAAATTAAAAAGAAAACTCCAACAGAAGTCAATATGACAGCTCCTAAACATTTTACCAGGCTGAGTTGTGAATGGGATTTCATATTGTTTTCTTAAATTATAACTGAGTTTGAGCATATATACACACAAGATATCAATCTACCTATGTTTACTTTATGCCAATTTTTATACTGTTATCAGCATTTCAAGTGATTTTTTGATATTTGGAAATGACTTTGGGGAGATTTTTTGGCCACAAAAAAGTATTAAATTTTAGTTAAATATATGTCTATCTTCTCTATTTTTTAGTTTTATTTATTTATTCATTTATTTCTAGTTTTTATATCTTCAATCAAATACATCATTTAGCTTATAAAGAGAGTTTACCCAACATGAAATACACCTCAGACCAGTTCAGTTGAAAATACTATACACCTCATCATTAACAGGTAATAAACCATGTCTGTGTCCCACAAATGCCTTATTTTCTATTTTTTCTCTGCATCCTACTCTTTTTTTATTTTAAGGTTTTTGCAATAGGGCATGTGCACTCACCAGAGAGAGATAAAGAGAGGCAGAGAGAGAAAGTGGGATGGCCACATAGCAATCTCTCCTCCTCCATGGTCCTCTTGGGATTTTGGGCACACTCTCACACATGCCCAGTGTATTTTTCAAGCTGTGAGGTCTGAGACTTGACCTGCAGTTGACCATGTTGGAATCCAGACACCTTGACCACCATTCCCCCTGCTAGCCCTCCATCCCTAGCCATCCATTTGTTATTCAGTATTGCTTACTTGTGCTCTACAGAGTGCCTAGAACATAGCCAACATTCCATTTATATTTCTCAAATGCATGAAATAATTTCTATTTTTCTTTTCATTATGATTGTGGAGTACATGACCTCTTGAGAATAGCTTGAGTGTTGGAAAGAAATTCATAATGTTTCTCACAAGTATCATGTAAAAGGAAGCATTCCATATGCAACACTTAGAAACTAGTGTCTTGACTGTAGAATGTAAGTGATCGCATTCTAGCATGTAATACTTGCTTGTGTGATGTTAACACTCTGTCTTTTGTTTTAATAGTTACTTCAACCACATGGAGCCAGGAAATGACACACAAATTGCAGAATTTCTTCTTGGAGGATTTTCTGAAGAACCAGAATTGCAACCCTTCCTCTTTGGGCTGTTCCTCTCCATGTACCTGATCACTGTGATTGGAAACCTGCTCATCATCCTGGCCATCATCTCAGACTCCCACCTGCACACCCCCATGTACTTCTTCCTCTCCAATCTTTCCTTTTATGACATCTGTCTCACCTCCCCCACCATCCCAAAGATGTTGGTGAACATCCAGACATGGAGCAAGGTCATCATCTATGCAGGTTGCATCACCCAGACATGCATTTTCATACTTTTTGGAGGGTTGGAAAACTTCCTTTTGGCTGTGATGGCCTATGACCACTATGTGGCCATCTGTCATCCCCGGCATTACATGGTCATTATGAACCCCAGGCTCTGTGTGTTGCTGGTTCTGTTGTCCTGGTTCATAAGTGTCCTGAATTCACTATCAAATAGTTTAATGGCATTGCGGCTGTCCTTCTGTACACATGTGGAAATCCCTCACTTTTTCTGTGAACTTAATCAGCTGATCCACCTAGCCTTCTCCAACACTTTAATTAATGACATAGTGCTTTATTTTGCAGCTGGGGTGCTGGCTGGTAGTCCCTTTACTGGGATCCTTTACTCTTACTCTAAGATAGTTTCCTCCATTTGTGCAATCTCATCAGCTCAGGGGAAGCACAAAGCATTTTCCAACTGTGCCTCTCACCTCTTAGTTGTCTCCTTATTTTATTGCACAATCCTAGGCGTGTACCTTAGTGCTGGTGCCACCCACAACTCACACTCAAGTGCAACAGCCTCGGTGATGTACACTGTGGTCACTCCCATGCTGAACCCCTTCATCTACAGTCTGAGGAATAAAGATATAAAGAGGGCTCTGAGAAGATATTTAGGAGGGAAGCTATAAGGATTGTTTTTCCAGGAGAGCCAGTGATTGCAAGACCTTACCTCAAAGTCAGATATCATGATTGTTAAATCAGAGCATGGTAATCATGTTTTCAATTTTTTTCTTCTTTATTTAATTTTTTACGGAACCCCTTCATCTACAGTCTGAGGAATAAAGATATAAAGAGGGCTCTGAGAAGATATTTAGGAGGGAAGCTATAAGGATTGTTTTTCCAGGAGAGCCAGTGATTGCAAGACCTTACCTCAAAGTCAGATATCATGATTGTTAAATCAGAGCATGGTAATCATGTTTTCAATTTTTTTCTTCTTTATTTAATTTTTTACGTTCAATCACTGTACACTATTAGAACATACCAAATAAATTTACCCCTAATTAATACACTGTATATTAGCCCAATCAAAGATACTACCATATATGTTATCAACAGATAATTTTCTATTTTTGTTTTCATTAAATGTTTGCTTACTTCTCTTTTCCCTTGATTCCCTCCTTCTCATCCTCCCCCCTTTCCCACTCTCCCCCCACACTGTTGCTTGTATCCACAATTGTTCTCCATGTCTTTGTACTTTCAATATTTCAGTTTCTGCCATAGAGTACAGACATTGGGTATATATTGAGAGACATAGAATGTCCCTCTTTCATAGTCTGTCTTGCTTCACTTAGCATTAAAGCTTCCATATTCATTCACTTTCTGTCAAATGCTAGGGTCTCATGGGTTTTTATGGCTGAGTAGTATTCCAAGGTGTATATGTGCCACCCTTTTTCAACCCATATATCTGTTCATGGAGATTTGGGTTGGTTATATGTCTTATCAATCGTGAATGATGTTGGTAATGCATGCTTTCAAATTTCCGAAGAGGTTTTTGAGTCCTAGCAAAGTTTCTGCTAAACCATTCACAGAGAATTTTCTTAAAAGTTCTTTGTTCTTCTGTAGTTTCCTTTTCTCTTGCTCCTTAGTCAGCTATGCATTCTTTTCCAAGTTCCAACACCTCCTTGTCAGTCAATTTATCAGGAACCAGATCTAGAAGCTCCTCAATATTATTCTCATCCACACCCAGTTTGAGGTCATTTGTCATCTCAACCATAGCCTTATTTTTTTAAAACCATTCTTTTTTGAGAGATATTTTTGCTACAGGGCACATGCACTTTTTAGAGAGAGAGACAGAGAAGCAGGAGATGAGAAATCACCCCCCCCGGGGGGGGATGACTATATCGCAATCCCTTCTTCTCCAGTCTCCTCTTGGTATTTTGGGCACACATGCACAAGTGTCTGGCATGAGTTTCAACCTGCTGCATCCAGGACACAAATTGGTCAACCACATAGGAGCCCAGTGCCTTAACCACTACACTACATCCTGGTCCCTATTTATTTTATTTTATTTTATTTTTTATTTATTTATGGTTTTGGTTTTTGTCATAAAGTGTGTGTACTCACTTGGGGTGGAAGAGAAATCACCCCCTTCCACAAGATCAATGACCATGCTGCAATCCCTTTCCTCCATTATTCTCTTGGGATTTTGGGCATGCATGCACATACCTGCTATGTTTTTTAAAGCTGCCGGGTCTGAGACTCAAACC